TATAGAAATTAAGAGCTGCAGAGAATACTATAGAATTTTTGTTTCAAATTTTCCGTTCACGCGACACAAGAGAATTCACGTTCAATCGGCACACGTTCATTAATATCGGAGCAATACACTAGCAAAAATTCAAGCACACGTTCAATCACAAGAACATTTCGGCCGCGAAATGATCCTCGAATTTCTTAACTCGACAACACAGCACTGTGATGATGAAGGCTGCGCAAAGGTTGAAAAACTATTACATCACGGATTAGCATTAATAATTTGTAGCACGGTAGATCCTTACCATGTTGAAACTATGATTTCGTTCACCTTGACACAGGTTTCGGATTCGAAAATTAGAACATGTCAATTAGAACTGTCACTTTGCGATTTCCGAAGAACACTTTTGCCGGCAGGTTTCCCAAGATTATGGCTGTGGCCAGACGTTAAACCGACTGACGGGTCCAGACGGGCCGATTTAACTAATAGAAAGTGCAGTACAACCCCCGATAAAATGAATTTTGCGAAGGCGGAGCGCAGGCCTCATGGGTGGAGCTGCTCTCTGGACCGTCCCATACTGTTCCAGCATCCCTCCAAACACCCTTAAGTCGCTGTCAGATCCCTACATGTCGAGCGAACGCAAACAAAAATAAAGAAATATCGATCGTCCGCGATCCAAATGTTACACATCGAAAACAGGAAAATTTCCGTCCCTGGCTGCATTGGCGGTCTTGAAAATGGAAATTTCCTCTTTACGACAACCCCTTTGGAGCTTCCATTTTTTTTTTTTCTTTTTTCACTGTATTATTGAACCTTGAACATTAGGGCTGGACAACGAAATGACAGAACTTTAATTCTAATATTCAGAGTTAAAATGGCAAAAAAGGATAATCTAGTTGTGAAAAAAAAATTTCACTGGTTTTGGTGAATTTTTACAGGAACTTTTCAAGAGAACAAAAGTATCCTTATTTTCCCACTTGCTGCATGAAGTAAAAACATCTTGATGCTGAGATTATTAAATAGAGATTTTACGCCTTCAAACCTATTTCTTTTTCATGAAATTGCACAACAGTTTAAAATATTAATTTTCATCCATCTCTGAAGGTATCGTAATTGGTATTATAAGCTCCAAGTACTGGTAGATTGCTGAATATTTGTGCAAGCTTATATTTGTATAAATATTACAACAAAATCAGTAACTTAAGTATTTTATATATTTTATGTCTTTGTATCTTTAAATTTCCCATAAGTCACAGTCTAATAATAATGGTGTAAATACAATGCAGCGCGATGAAGATTTGAAATTTGATTTTGTGTGGCGTAAAATAATTGCAAGTTGTTATGTTTCTTATTTTAGAAAATCAGTTGTATATGTAAACCAGGTAAAACACAGACACTTTCCTTTATTATAAATACGTAACGTCCAATTAAACGTATAGATACCTCGAACTGAACATATAGATAATCGAAAACATATATAGACACTTAAACTTATTTCGAAAGAAGAAATAAAGTAAATCAAAGAGCTCGAAACTGTAGCAAAAGTTCGACATCAGTGACATATCTTTACTTTGAAGAGTTTCTATTTCCCAAAGTTCCCATACAATTAGATTCTTATTAGCCGAGTCCTGCAAAGTCAACGAATGACAGAGGGGGGAGGGGGGGGGTGCAGAAGAAGAAAGAGGGAGCGTTGTTTAATGTATATTAGGGGTTTGAAAATCCCCAGCCGTTGTCAAGTGGCCACCAGCCACGAACTGTTTTATTGTGACACCTCCGGGGGGTGCCTACAGATTTTCCAACGGGATGAATCGAAGGGTGTCATCGTGCGATCCCGATTAAATGATTAAATCAGCCGATCGTGTTCATTCGAGCGCTATTACCGGTCTATCTGCGTGGGAGCTAACTATAGTTTCTCTTAAACTCACTATGGACAACAAAGATTATTTGCAATCACATAGCAAATTATAGAACAGATAGTTAAACTGTAAAATTGCGGATTTTTATGCGTTTATGAGAAAAGATTTAAAAGTACGTGTGTATCGTATTGCTCGTAAAATGAATTTGCACAATGAATATCCACAATGTAGTCATATTGCGTGAATAGCATATAGCTTTTAACACTAGAACTACCGACAGTTGAGACGTAGCTATCTCTATCAAAACCA